ATAACAGAGCGGGCTGGAGAGATGGCTCAGCGGTTAAGAGCACTGACTGCTCTTCCAGAGGTCCTGAGTTCAAATCCCAGGAACCACATGGTGGCTCACAACCATCCGTAATGAGATTAGATGCCCTCTTCTGGTGTGTCCGAAGACAGCGACAGTGTACTCATAAATAAAATAAATAAATAAATCTTTAAAAAAAAAAAAAAAAAATGGGCTGGAGAGATGGCTCAGTGGTTAAGAGCACCGACTGCTCTTCCAGAGGTCCTGAGTTCAATTCCCAGCAACCACATGGTGGCTCACAACCATCTGTAATGGGATTTGATGCCCTCTTCTGGTGTGTCTGAAGACAGCTACAGTGTACTCACATACATAAAATAAATAAATCTTTAAAAAAAAAAAAAAAGAAATAACAGAGCATCAGTGAGCTGCAGAGCCACGTCATGCAACTTAATATACATTTAATCAAAATCTACAAGGGAGAGGAATAAGAAAGAAAAATACTGGAAAAAAATGATAGTCAAATACTTTACAAAATTGATGAAAACTATTAAATCACAAATCAAGAAGTTCAATGATCCCAAACACAAGGAACATAAAGAAAACTACATGAACACATACCACAATCAATTTGGTTAAGCCAGTCTAACAAGAACATCTTCAAACCAGCCACAGAAAAAAACGCATGTTATGTATCAGGAAACAAAAGGATGTCGGCTGCTTTCTTATCAGAAACAAGTGAGACAGAAAATAATAAATCAACATCTTTTAAGTGACTGATTGGGGGGATCTAAAATTCATTACTTAAATGTTTTTCGAAAGTAAATAAAATACCTTTTTTGGACATACAATCACCAACAAGTTCCCATTAATAGAAACTTTAAAGGAAATCCCTAAAGCAGAATAAAATCATAATAGATGTAAATATGAGATTAGCAGAGGAGTGAAGAGAAAATTTACTCAACACATGTATAACCATAAAGAGGTTTGGCTTTTTGGTGGGGTGGGAGGAGTTGAGACAGGGTTTCTCTGTATAACAGAGCCTTGGAACAAACATGCATGCATACATACATACATACATACATACATACATACATGTATCTGAATCTGGGCTGAGGAAATAGTTCAGTGGTTAAAACCCTTGCCTTGCAAGCAAGCCTGGAGACATGGGTTCAGATCCCAAGAACCAACATAAATGCTGGGTGAGTGTGGCAGCTTGTCTGTACTTCAGGGAAGAGACAAGGGGTCCCCAGAACAAGCCAGACTGCAAGACCAGTCACATCAGTGATCTCTGGATTTGAATGAGAGACTTTACCTCAATAATAAGGCAGAAAATCTATACAGGATGTTTCCCCACATCAACCACAGGCCTCACCCAAACACATGTGCTCACAAACATGTGAACACACACAGATACACCATACACTTACATGAAAATGGGGTGGAGGGATAACTGATTCTATTTTTTAAAGATGCTTACAAATAATGGAAAGTGCACTGAGGTCAACAACACATAGAACAAGGTGACCAAGAACACCAGCATACAAGTAAATTCAACAGCACAGATGATTAATAAGGTCAATAAAAGGCACAACCAAAGTTCATTCAGAAAAAAAAAACAGGTATCATAAATACTTTCCATTAAAGAATCCAGATTCTAGTCAAAAACAACCACCACCACCTTCCCATAAGGGCACTCCAAACCAGATAGAAACACTAAAGAATACTGATAACGGGTAAGGAAAAGAAATACTAACTACATACAAAGAGTAACAGAAAACTGAAGGAAAGGAACCATTTCCCAGTTCATCAGGGCTCCCTACATTACTGGCAAACCAAATAGATTTAAAAAACCAAAAACTCTTTTGCCCTGACTCTGTGAATGAAGCCCAGAGACTAGCTGAGTATTTCAGAACTGACAGCTTTGAGCTGAGCGGTGGAGGGCAGACATGGTAAGGGCAACGCAGAAGTCCACTCGCTCAAAATACACAAGGGGCCAAAGTTATGACAACAGAGAGCAGAATGGTGGTTGCCAACAGCAGGAAAGAAGAATGTGGATTTCTCTAGAAATAGGCTACATTTCATTAAAAAGTTACTATCACTGAATTAAACCCTTGAAAATGATTAGGCATATGCGTGCATCTGAAAACCAGGAAGTCAATCTTAGAGTATTCCTCAGAAGCTGTCTAACTTGATTTTCATTTTGGGAGGGCTCCGGGTTGAGGTTGGGGTTGGGGTTGGGGTTGGGGTTGGGGTTGGGGTTGGGTTGGGTTGGGTTGGGTTGGGTTTGGTTGGGTTTGGTTTGGTTTGTTCTGAGCTAGTCTCTCACTGGAACCTGGGATTCACAGATTACAGCAAACCACAAGGATCCTTCTGTCTCCTGAGCACAACTCTTACAAGCAAATGCCACCAGGTGTGCATTTTACATGCGTGCTTGGGATATGGAACTAATGTCCTTGTGTGCTGCAAACACTTCACCAACTAAGCTAATTCCCATCTTGACAGTAAGTTTTATATTATGTGGTTTACTACAACTTAAAAAAAAAGGAGTTAAAAAAAAGACACAAAAACTGGTTCCCAAGCAGTAGTACTGACTAAAATTACTTCTAATCCATTAACCACAGTGGCCTATTTTATATTTTTGGTTCGGACTCCAGCCTTTAATAGCTGAGCCATCTCTACAGCCCCAATTCTTTTCTTTCTCAAATAAAAGAAAACTGAGTACATCTTCCAAGTGGGATATGGGGACTTCTCAAACTAGAATAAAGCATGAGAGAGGGGCAATGAGATGGCTCAGGAAGTAAATACATTTGTCACAAAGCCTGACCACCTGAGTTCAATCCCCAGCGACCCACTTGGTAGCAGGAGTGACTCCCACAAGTCCATATACCAACACACATGCACACACACACACACACATTCGCACACACGCACACATAAATAGATGTAAATTTAGATTTTTATTAAAATTTACAAAATAAAGTATAGGGAGGAAGTTGAAGAACAAGGAATGAGAAAACAATACACATGCTAACGGTGGTAGAAGCACAAAGCATACTATTCAGACACAGACATACTGTGTCATCCCCACCCGACACACAGCCTAAGTCCCTGAGTAAAACCTTCCATAGAGGCTTCTCTTTATTCAAAACACAAAGAAAAATTCAGCTTGCCTACAAGGTCCAGCACAATCTGGCCCCACGCCACTCATTGCTCCAGTCCTCTGTCCTACCAGAACATTCCATATGCCTCCAGCTCCCTCTCTAAAGCTGTACCTTCTGTCCCTGATCCTCTCCAGCCACCCTGCCAGCATAGGGTCTCTGCCCTGCTATCTTTAATTTTCAGTGAGACTGAAGCACTTCCTTTCCTGTGTATCCTGAATACCTCCATTCATAGGTCTCATTGGTGATTTCCCTTAACACAACTATAGCTTATTATCATCTGCTAAAGACAGAAGTCACATCTGCATTTATTCTCAACTCCACAGCAAAGCACAGTGCCTACTGTAGAAGGACTGCTAAACAGAGCAACAACAAGCTAAACATACACACACACACACACACACACACACACAGGGGTCAGGGGCACACCATAGATAAAACATAGCAAATGGTTGCTGAGTAACCATTGTCCTTGCTGTCTCCTGACACAGAGCCTGCTACATATGAAACACTCAAGAATTAAGAATATCAAAGAGCAAAATTTTCACAAGACTCTTAAGTCTTACATATTAAACAGTAACCCTACTTAAACTGTTGTGTTTTACATAAAAGACTGACTGCAGAAACAAAAGATCTAGAAGGGGTAAGAGCATGGTGTGTTTTAAAAGAACTGGATCAGGATCAGAGTGACTTTCATTTTTAAATAAGAACTAAAGGATGCCACGTGGAAATAAATGTTTCCCAAACCCTAAAGAATATTTTAAAAAATTATTTAGTTCACTCAGTCCCCTCCAATACATAGTGTATCTATACTTTGAAGGCAAATCAACTATTATTTCCTCCTTAAACATCTTTCTGAAAGTACCAGCCTACATTGATTTCTCCACCCCCTAACCTACTACACAGCACTGATACCTACCACATAGATTGTACTTAACCAAATGTCATCTTCTCCCAGTGGTGCAATGTGTACAACCTCATATGTCTTCAAAAACTTATTTCAAGCCCATTAACACTACAAGTGCTTAGTGCTGAAACTAAATGATACAATCTTCAATGGTGAATCTTAAAAGGCTCCTGCATTTTATTCCTAAATAATTCTGCAAACTGTTCACACCTCTGTTTTCACTCCATCATTCTATTAGGAACAGCAATGTCTAAGGTCTTCTTAGTGTCTTTTGTCCAAACTCAAAGGAAGTTTTTGGTGCCACTGTTATCTTTTGAAGTGTAAATCAGAGATATATTTAACGCCTGCCCCTATTTAACGGCGTAAATTTTACTTGAAATCTTTCCCAAGATTAGTTAGGTCCCAGGACGTTCCTTCTGCATAAAACTGGAAGCCACAACAGCTACGATAAAACATACTATCCACAGCTCATTCATAACTGGAAAGCTAACTCCCGGGGAAATGGTCGATTCAAAGTGTACAATCAAATGAGTCTCTGCGCCCCAGAGACCGGATAAAGTGTATCACTTTGAGAAACTCCGGCAATCAGCAAGCGCTGCCGCTCGACACTCAGGAGGAGATGCAAGCTTGTCAGCCTCCATCAGGACCCACGAGAACACGTCCCCAGGTGACCCAAGCCTTGGGAAGCCGCGTCTTCCCAAACACTGGCTCCAACCCCGTCTCCCTCCTCTCGCACTGAACTGCACTACAAAAAGGAAGGGCCCGCAGGGCGTGGGGAGCCTGAGGCCCGGCCGGGGCCGGCGGAAGGCGACCAGAGGCGCCGGGGTCGGGCGCCCCGTGAGACGAGGACGCACAGTCCGGGCCGCGGAGCGCGGCGCGGAGGGAAGGCCTGGCCGGGTGGCCGGGGCGTGCGCAGGGGGAGGGGGCAGGAGCCTCACCGTCGCTCCCCGGAGGCCGGCGCCGCCGCAGACCCGCAGTTGCTAGGGAGAATGCGCTTCCGGGTCACGAGCGAGCGTTCCGAGAACGACGGTGGCCGGGTTGGATCAAGAGCGAAGCGCGGGGCTAGTGGGCGGTGGAGGCGGTGGTCGCTGCAGGACCACAGGATTGAATGAGGGGCGGTGCGAGGCTCATCCCGCGTGGGCGGCTCCCGGCTGGGCGACCTTTCTGCCTGGGTCCCTCTCGCGCTATCTGGATCCTAAACCCACCACTCTGCCGCTGTCACGTTGCAGGTGGCACCAGACTTTTGGATGTTCTCAGGACCAACGCCAGCACCTTCCTTGTTACCAAATCTTACTCATCCACGCATTGGCCCATCACTCCTTCACTGGACACCTGTACAGGGCTAGATGCATTGTTGGCACGTGCAGGCCGGTAACCAAAGAAGTGACCATGTCCGGCTAGCTCAGATGAGCGAAGGAAGCTGAAAGCCTGCGTGAGAAAGGCTTGCCTAGGCAAAAGAAGGGAAAAATCGAGGAGACCTCAACCAAGTGGAGGGGGAGGGAAAAGTGTGTCAAGGCATGGAATACTTGCAGTGTGGTGTTAAGGCTGCCGGAAGGCAGCATGGCCCCTACAGGCAAGTGGGTCAAGAATTAAAAACATGAGCACTCTGTGAACCATAGAGAAGGAAACCTAAAGAGCATCCAGAGAAGTATGAAAAGGAAAAAAAAGTCAGTGAGGGTTGCTGGTCATAGCTGCCAACTGTTGTGGAGATCACGTGTCCAGTGATGACAATAGAATCATTAAAATTCAATACTACAATGCCAAAGTAGAGAATGGGGCCCACTTCTGGTTAAGGAGGCCGCTGCATTTTTCTCCATGTTGAATCAAGAAAAGAAGATATGGAAAACTTCTGGATTTCTTAATGCTTTAAGAAGCCCCACCTTGATATAACTTCCATGTTTGCTTAAGGAATGAACCTGAAGATTCTTTATTTTATTTTATTTTATTTTATTTTATTTTATTTTATTTTATTTTTTTCTAGCTCTCCCTCAGATCCTTCCAAAACCTCAGCCAAACTTCCATTTAAACAAAACTTGCCTTTCAAACTGCAGGGAATGAATGGCAGAAGCTCAGGGAATCTGTGAATAGGAAACAGGCCAGTAGAGACAGAGATGGGAAAATCCAGAAGAGACAGAGAACAAAGGACTGAAACAATTTTTTTTAAAAAATGGGGTGGGTTTGGGGGGGGTGCAGAAATGGGAGGTGAGCTAAGAAAACCAAAAATAAACTCAAGAATAGAATGGCAAGGACAAGAACAAAGAAAGAAGAGACAAGATCATTAGTGTCTGAGGCTGCGTTTGACTGAACATCGGGCAAAAAGTGTGCTAACCGGCTTGAAGGCTAAGTGGACATACTACCATACTACACTAAGTATAGTGAGCTTATCTTCCTCACGTTAGCTGCAGGAAGACCACACACACTTTGTAGTGGATGGGGGCTAAGAGCCTTGCTCCACATGCCTATCTCTGGTCCGTGTATAATCCTCATAGAACAAGGGTGTCCTTAAGCTCTTCCAAAAGACTTAGAAATAATGATTTCCTCTGGAAAACTGTGAATCTTTTCATGACTGGTTTAACCAGCTGTCTATGAAAGTAAGGAAAATGTTTTAAATGTGTGGCTGAAGAATATGGGAACCGTATAGTCAAGAGAGCTATCTTGGGCTGGAGAGATGGTTCAGTGGTTAAGAGCACAGTCTGTTCTTCCAGAGGTCCCGAGTTCAATTCCCAGCAACCACATGGTGGCTCACAACCATCTGAAATGAGATCTGATGCCCTCTTCTGGGGTGTCTGAAGACAGATACAGTGTACTCACATAAAATAAATAATTTTTTTTTAAAAAAAAAAAAGAGAGAGACAGAGAGAGACAGAGAGAGAGAGAGAGCTGTCTTGATCCATTCTGACTGCAGAAGCGAAATACCAGAGACTGAGTGGTCTGTGAGCAAAGGCTGGGAAACCCAAATTTAAGTCACAGACCTATTTCAGCATCTGATGTGACCCCACTTCCTGTCTGATAATCAGGAATCTGCTCGCCATATCCCCACAAGACAGAAAATACAAATAGAGATTCTAAAACCTATTACAAGGAGACCGTTCCACCCATGGAGACTCGGTGCCCATGACTTAATCATCTTTCAATGACTCTGCCTCCCAATACCATCTCATTAGGTGTTGGGGAGGTAGAGAAGGACACAGATATTCATTCTATAGCAAAAGCCTAGATATAATACTGCAAACCAGGACCAGTAAGTAGTGATGGTTTGGTAAAAGTAAGCTACATCACTTGTTTGGTGAATAAACCGTATAAACCCACCTTGTGATCTAGAGAAGAGAAGGTCCAAGTGCTTGAGTCGGTATACCTTATAGTGTATTCTGTTGAAGGGTCAGGTGTTCTTTAGGCTCCCACCATTTGGTTGGGTTGCTGTGGGATGTCAGTGGTGTCATAAGAAGTGGGAAGGCCTAATTTGCTCTGCACTTCAACATGGTAAGCCTCATCTCCGTTTGGTCTCTGGGTGTCTGATAGTCCATTAGTAATGCAAAATGCTTTGAGAAATGTCTCCAAAGACCCAGCACATGAGTAGGATCACAATTGCCATTCCCTGCCAGGATATGAAAAAAGCCTACAGCCTCGAGAAACATACCAATTTGATTTTAGGAGGCATTGTGTCTACACCTTAGTCTTGTCTGCTGTAACAAAATACTATAAGCTGGGAACCTTAAACAACAGAAATATACACAATTCCTGAAGTTGTAAACTCAAAGTGCTGGCAGATTGTCTGGTTGGGACCAACTTCCTGTTTCCTGATCAGACAGGAAAAGGACTAGTTGGCTTTCTAGATTCTCATTTAAATACCAATCCCATTCTTGATGGCTTCACCCTTGTGTCAGTCACTTTCCAAAGCCCCACCTCCTATTACCCTCCGACCAGTTTTCAGAATACGAATTTGGAAGGGCATTCGGCTGCAATCTGTGACCTTACCATTAAACCCTACTTCACTGATGAGTTGAGTTAAGGACTTATACAGAGCTGTTGTTGTCCCAGAGCTTTCCAGGGTTAGTTAATCTTGATTCCCATCCACCATTTCCTCTGCCCAGGATTCTGTGTTAACACCCACCCAGTCACAAAGGCAGGCCTGAAGGAGTCATCGCTGACTACACATTCCCTCTCACCACATCGTTACACATTCTGCCATCAGCTAGTCCTGGAAGTTGTCCTTTTTTGTCCCACTCAATTCCATTGGCATAAGAGACAGGGAAGAGAGTAGTTACTAAGCAACCTGGGATCAATTAAAAAAAAAAAATGTGTTGCAACCTCAAAGATAAACCCAGGCAACAGAGGCAGGGTGTACATACACATGCGTGGGAGTAAGTGGAAGAAAGAGTGCAGTGACCAAACCAAACACCACAGGAACTCCAGGGAGATAAGGCAGGATCAGTTCATTCAGCCGTGTGATCTAACTGCTGTGTGTGCTGATCTCATCACAGGAAATAAAGGATCATGAAAGGAGTGTGAAATAGGGTGAGAACTGAGAGCATTCCAAGAAGCAATGGTGCTTGCTGGCCTGGAGGGATCTGGAGAGACTTCAGATCATAAAGACCATATATGTGGCCTGAGTGCATGGGCCAGCGTGCTGTGGGTGAGCAAGAAGGATATCTCAAGGTCTCACTACCTGGTCCAGTCTCCTCCCCGAGACACTTACATCCACCCAGACCACTGTTTCCAACTGGAAGCCATGCTCTGTATTCTGGTTTTGTTCTTGTTTTACTTTATATAAATGCTTGGGATTTTTTTCTTCCTAATATTTAGTTTCTTTTTTCCTTTTAGAATATGAATCCTACTAGAACATTTTTCCTTTTTAAAAATTATTTTATTTATTTACATTCCAAATGTTGCCCCCTTCCCAATCCTCCCTCCCAGAGTTCTTCACCTCCTGCCCCTCCCCCTTCCCCTTTGCCTCTGAAAGTTTAGACAGAATGTCCTCATCTGAATAACATGCTTCCTTCAAGAGCCAAAGACCATCTAACAACATCTGCAATATAAGGCATGAGAAGTCCTTTTTTTTTTAATTGCCATTGAATTGAATTGATTTTTGTTGTTGTTGTTGTTGTTTTTCGAGATAGGGTTTCTCTGTATAGTCCTGGCTGTCCTGGAACTCACTCTGTAGACCAGGCTGGCCTCGAACTCAGAAATCCGCCTGCCTCTGCCTCCCAAGTGCTGGGATTAAAGGCATGCGCCACCACCGTTCAGCCTTGAATTGATTTTCTAAGAGATTCCCAAACGCTACAGTCTATGGCTATTTCCCTTGGTTGCCCACAAGAGGTGGAAGTTAACTCCCTGTTGCTGAAGACACTATGCACTTCAGACACAGGGTTCAGAGGTTCCTGTGCTTTACCCTGAATGCCTCCTTCCTAAGGACTAGCTTTCATGGTACCAGAAAGTGCCATGCAAGCTTCCAAAGAGAAGGTAAGCAACCAACAGTCCTTCCCAGCTATGATACCTATGAATTTCCAGCATGGCATAATAACCCTAAAAGTACACATACATTGTCTATAACCAATTGCTCTCTAATTGAACTTCAGACCTGCTCAGCAAGATGGAAACCATGCCTGGTACTGAAACCTAGCCAGTTACCCAGGGCTACTGAAGTTAAGGATCTTGGAGAAAACCCTATCGCCACCACTTTAGTAAATCAGCACACTCTCAAACTACATTCTGAATATTTGTCCTTATACACATATAACTTTAAAAGTGTAAATAAAGAACAGGGAGTCCAGAGTATAGGGTGACTTTCATACTATCTGAATTTCTATTCAGGTTGTAGTCAAATACTCTGACAGAAGCAAACTTCAGGGGGAAAAGGTTTGTTATAGTTAACAGTTCAAAGTACATTTCCACGTGTCTGGAAAGTCAAGAATTTGCAGCAGCTTTGTCACAATGCAACTACAGTCAAGAAAAAGACAGCAATAGATGCTCTCTGATCTCTTTCACCATTTGTTGCTGGATTCCCAGTCAAGGAATAGTGCCACCCATAGTGGGCAAATTTTTCTTGATTACCAATAGTGGGTAATCAAGATACACCACAGGCCTGCCC